AGTCAGGCGGAGGTGGTGGGTGTACATGTCGAAGGTCGAGCACCCAGAGGATAACGAATCGATCGAGTACGGTGTGCCATTTGCGAGGGTGCAGAGCCAGCCGAAGCCACAGGAGTATTCTTTCTCCCACCACAAGAGGAGTAAGATGGTGCGACGTCTCTTCCCCGCCATTCTCCATGGTTCCCTCGATGCTCGCCTCATTTCAATGGCGGCGGTAGGGTTTAAGGTAAGCTTCACACTAACCTAATCTTCCATCTGCTCATGCTTACAATCAGTGTGACAGCTAATGAAAATCATGCTTACAATTAGTCTCTGAGTACTACGCCAATCACCCTAAAATAGCTCTGGACCTTTGGGTCAAAGTTGTGACACTATGTACAAATAAAGAAAAATAGATTGGTGCTTCTTTCAGAAAAGAGTACTCCCTAGAAAACTGCCAATATAAGCTAATAGTATTTGGTTAGAGGATTTGCTATCGAGAAAGGTCCGTCCATAGAGAGCGCCACACATCCCACTGGTGGTGGTGGATGGCAATGCATGCATGGAGCATGGTTGGTGTCAATAATTTGTACTTGGCATACCTCGCACTCTGCATATATGCCGGTTCCATCCATACATTTGTGCAGTTCCACCAAAATGCAGCTGAATAACCCTGTTTGCACAGATAATGAAAAAGCGTGATTACATTATAGTGGCACTAGTTGATGAAACATACAATAATAAATAGAAGAAAATATTGCGATAGTATCATAGTATGCCATGTTGCGAGGGTGAGATGGGCCCTGCGACGCCTCATATAGTATGCCTCATACTGGAAATCAACCCAAGTCTCCCCGATACACCTTCTGCTAGTGATGAACATCAGTGTACAACGGTAGTACAAGGAGGGGCCTTGAGAAATTCCAATCTCTATTTTTTGCAGATCAACTAAAATTAAGCACCCCAGTTTGCAGAAATGCTTAAATAGTAACAATGGGACTAGTTGATGAAACATATACTAACAAAGAGAAGCACTTTCTTTATCTACATTGGAAATGAAATGATAGAGAGGACACTTGCTCTATTTTAACTGTATTATTACTTCATTTTATCAGTGTCACTAGGGTCGGGCGGGTGGCAAACGAGGTGTACCGTGCGTCGCAAGGATGGAGGTCGGGGGTGCTTAGACTGGGATGCTGAAGCTGGCTCTATCAGTCCTTATCTTGCCCCCTGATGTTTCTGTGGTAGCATTTGGGTTGTAATCCAAACTTGGTCGAGCTGGTGCTGCGTCCCCCTACCTGGCTAGCTTATGTGGCGAACTTTTCTCCTGCTAGTACTTAGTCCGTTCTAGTAGTAGTTGCATAACTGCCCGTTTACACTGTGATGTTATCAGATAATGGTTCTCTATGGTTGGGTTTCTTTAATGAAATCGGAGGAAACCCCCTCTTTCAATATATTAAAAAAGTTAATGGCACTAGCGGTGTCAAAACATTGACTCAAATTAATAGTGCCACTAGATTAAGGTGCAAAATAATAACATTACTACTTTATCATGGCAGTGCCAAAACAGTAGCACAAGAGCAGACTCAACATGCAGGATCTTTGGCAAATGGTCAGACCAAAAAGGAACATACCTCGTGATGGGAACCATATCTGCAGTCAACGCCATCGTAGAAGGGATGACACTAGTCACCAACATGGATGATTCAATTCATGGGACCTTTTGGTGCAGTTCACCTAAAATGAAGCAATGTCCCATGAGCTAGCAGCTTCTTCTTCGTCTTTTAAGAAAAGGGCTCCAGCCCCGGTTCCATTTCCATCAGAAAACGAAACCCACAAAGCTTCTTCATTAGTTGCAATAAAATTGAGCAACATCAAGGATGGTTGTGAAGCTCCTGGAATGTTCAACTATAATTTGGATATCATTTGTGCAGTTGAACTAAGATCAAGCATGAAATGTATATCTCTCTTTGCACAAAAAGGTGGAAAGGAGGGTAACTAACAAGTGATGAAACATACATCAAATGAAAAGAAGCATGTTCCTCATCTGAATGGCAATCCTACAAGGACAGTAGCAATTTCTAAAGCAGCAACATTGCTAGATATTATTGTGGGAATTAGGATTAACTATGACAACGGTTAAATTCGACATTCCTTTAATGGTGCCATTGCTTCATTTTACCAGCAACATTACATTAACAACTGCTATAGAGTTGGTATTTGGGCACGGGAGAGTAGGCGGACCAGGACAGTTGCATTTTTCTAACAAAAAGAAGCAACTTATCTTAATGGGAAATTTAGCAGGAGATGAAAAAAGTGCCATTGATTCATATTACTGGAGGCATTACATCGAAAACAACATTGGTTTAACGTGTCCTTACTTTTAACAGTGCGATTGCTACATTTTACTAGTGGCACTACATAAGAGTGGCTCGGGGCAACAAACATCAGAACATGATATCTGGGTTGGTCCCATTTTTGTTCGGTATAGCCACCTTATACTGTGTGAGGCTAGCAAATCTAGTGTTGGACTTACTCTGTTGACTTGTCCCCGAGTCCCCACTTTCTTTCCTTTTTCAACCAATAGATCAGGTTTATATTGAGTTTGTACTGCGTTTACCTTTATTTCCCTATTAGACAAAGAGACCAGTTGGATAGCCAGTCTCTACTACTTTTCGCCCTCATTATTTCCTCTTTCGACCAAGTCCTAGATTCAGGTAACAAATCTTCCCCCACCCCACCCCCTTTCTTCCTTGTTTGAACCAAGTAGTACTAGAATCGAGTGCATGAACTAGTTTTACCTCTTAACAGTAAAAATTTAGGTGGCTTTCGAACAACCTATCGATCCTATCAACGAGGGGGGCTGAGAAATAGTAAAAGATACAAATGTAGTGACATCAGGAGCTTGGGAAGTAGAGCAAGGCTTGTTTCGAAGGAAGTTATACCTAACGGTCGCCGGGATGTCGCTAGGTGGGCGACGGGAGGCTAGATTTTCCCACACTACAACAGCGAGGAAGAAGGGGTCGAAGGCCCTCCCTAGCCAGTGGTGCTTGGGAGAGAACGGCAAGGCACACTGATCGAGACGCGCCGGCAATGGGTAAGAGCCGTCGCCAAGGACGACCGCATGAATGTTGCACCTTCTTACCTTCCCCGACGGAGAGGATCTGGCTGGATCTATGACCAGCAGTGAGTAGAGAGAGAGAGAGAGAGAGAGAGAGAGAGAGAGAGTGGCCACCGCTGTCGTGTTTAGATCTGGAGAGGACGCGACAGTGTGAAGAGAGCAACACTCGCAAGCAAGCACGGAGGCTCCTACCTATATAGTGGACTACTACTTTTCTTTTGTCTACCGAAGCCGGCTTGACCTCGTCAATGAATGTCGAGAAGTCTTCATGCACGTGCCCCGGAGGCGCAGTTGTCGTCATTTTGATCTGAAGCACCGGATTATAAACATAACACGAAAAAATGCCACATGACAAGAAACCATAACCTCACTGCCCAAAGGAGACAACTTGAATCCCGACGGACAAACTAGACGAGGATGAAAGCTCAAATTAAAGATAAACTCGTAGAAAAGGGGTCCATCGATAGATGTCCTAATTAACATAGCCAGCTTGACCTAGATGGTAGCCGAGTAGTCTTCGTGTATGTGCCCCTAATGACCAGCACCTTGGAGGAACTTAGTTGTCACTGTTTAACCCTCGCAGTGATCCAAAGCACATGACACCTAATATTGTGAGATGACAAGAAACCTTTTTTTAGATTTCTCATCAGAACTATAGCCCTGTACAACACAGCCTGCATGATACATAGACGATAGCCAATCCAGGCGTGTCTGCCGGAGACTAGTCACATGCATGGACGAACTAATCTTCCATGTCATGCAGGGATCGTCCAGGCACCAACATATGTACAACACGTCTCTAGTACTATCACTCGTCTCTCTCTTCTATTAACTCACCTGACTTGCAGGGCCGGGGAGTGTGCCTATGGTCGGTTCTCAATTGCGGTCCCACATGTGTGTGCAAACGCAATATGACGCGCCTTCCATTCGGAGAGCGGCGTGCCAGACCAACCGACCGTCTGGGTGCGACGAAACGCGATGGGCGTGATGTATACTCTGTACATGTGTACCACTGTTTTGTTGAGGCTTTGCTTCATGGCGCAATCCATGGATACAAAATTAGTATACTGTACTATTAAAAGTCGAGGGTGGGGTTTTTCCCGCGCGGTAGGCAGGGCAGTTCCGCCTAGTCAGTTCGACAAAGACGTGAGAAGATGAGGGAGTAGGCTGCTGCAAACATAGGGCTATGTGTTTTGACAGCGAGTTACTGCTGGACAGTTGGGGCCTCATGAGTTGACTTGCCATTATCATTTTAACTGCGGCACTACGACCGGCGTGATTCTCCCGATTCCTGACCACCTCCATGGTATACAGGTGCATATCCCAATGCTCCACCATGTAGAGACTGGCTCTTGCATGAGAGCCCACTCCTCCACTTTTTCTTTGCCTCTGTCCTCCAGATATGCAAAAATGCCATGTAAGCGGGCTTATAGCCCACTATTGTACTTGCTCGTACAGGTGCTAAGCCTGCCACATAGGCATAAAGTCTAATGTGGCAAGTTAATTAAGAAGAGAGAGACTAGTTTGGTGACCCCAGGAAGAAACGGTGCTAAGCGCGTGCACCTAGGTGAAAATAAAATTTTGAGTCTATAGCTAATTAAATGAAGCAAACTTAGCAACAAAAAACTAAGCACCTATGCATTGGGGACTTGAGTTGCTAAGCCATTTAATGCCCTTAGCACCTCATCTAAGAACCATTTCGTTGGAAGAGGTCACTCCTTGGCAAATGCAATAAATACTACGAAGAAAGAGATAGAGAGAAGTAAAAAAAATACTCTTATAGCCAACCTTATAGCTAACCTTATAGCCGGATACACCATGGCAGCCACCACCACCTGGCTGGCTTGCTTTGTCAGTGGATGGTTCTTATTCAACGGAAGAGGGCTCGGCGGGAGCAGGCATGATCCTATGGGATAACTTGGGCTCTGTCATTTTTCCATCATGTCAACTATTGTTCTACTGTAACAATGCTCTTGAGGTGGAAATTCAAGCTATCAAGGTTGGAATATCTATGGCTATCGAATGGTCTAACCTTCTGGTCTTAGTACAATCGGAATCGATGGTGGCCCTTTCTTCTATGACTAATGCCTCACTTGATAAATCACCCAATGGCCAATTGGTCAGGGAGATCAAGAACTACATGTTGCAGAGGGAGTTTAAACTAGTGAAGATCCCGAGATCACAAAACATGGTCTCACATTGTCTTGCTAATTATGCCCAAATGGCTCGTAGCACCGCTTGTTGGTTGCAACGGCCATCCCCCTTCATTCATAATCTCGTATTAGCGGACTCTAAGCCTTTTACTTCGGAATAAACTACTTTTAAACCCGCAAAAAAAGTGATGACTATGTATGACATGCCAACGTCAGACAGCCTAACACACCGTGTTAAATCTCCAAGGGCATGACCACGTGAGCGAGGCGACAGTCGTGGTAGGCGCGGCCATGATACGGGCTGCTGGCAGCTCTTGGATCTGAGATCAAACGGTCGCATGCTAAGTTGCTGAAAATTTGCAGAATAACCCTCCAGGATAGGATATTCACCCATAGGTCTAGAATCACGCCATGCAACCGTTCAATCTCAGATTCAAGGGCTCGGAAGCCCATATCATGGGAGAATGGAAAGTTTAGTATCACCTCTAATTTTCCCGACGCTTGACATGACATTGAAAGCCATTTAATTGGGCGTCGAGTAGACATGACATCTAATTGGCCCCCATAGTACTGTGCATGAATCCATTTATCCACTAGGCAAGCCACTACCTTGCCATTCGCATGCCCCACTCAGCATTTTTACAATCGAAAACCATTGGCAGTTCGCTCCTACTCATCCCCGGACGTCCTTTAACATTATGACAGTTCGCTCCTAGTCATCCCGTCCTTTCACATTACGACAGTTCCACTAATCCTAACCCTCCTCCCAAATCCATGGCGTCCCAAATCTCCATGATCAGCAGTGAGTACAAGGTTAGAGCCATCACCGGCGATGAGTTCGACGTCATCTACACCCGTTCTTCCATGACGGTGAAAGGATGCCTTGCTCGCCTCAGACGCATGTTCGAAAACTCAAATGATGAGTGGGTTGCTGGGCTAGATGTTGAGTACACCACAACCCTGGACAAAGAGAAGAATCTAAAGGAGGAAGAGAAGATGAAGCCCGCCATGATCTAGGTTTGCGTGCATGACTTATGCTTGGTCTACCACATATGCCATGCTGATGTTGAGTGCGAGGAATTTAAGAACTTCCTTAAGGGCGACCTAGTCAAATTCGTTACTGTAGACTTTATGAACGACAGAATAGTCCTGGGTCAGATAGGCCTCGTTGTAGGCGCGCCCTTCGACCTCCATAAGAATGGGCTGGTGCCCTCCCATGACTAGCCTTCAATGCTGAGCCTGGCAGGAGCCATGGTTCATCCTTCATACGGTAAACTGAAGAAACCTCCGCCCAAGTTTCATCATGCATGGGAGTGGAATGTACTAGATATAGACCACATCCACTACGCTGCAATGGATGCCTACCTTTGTTTTAATATCCTACAAGGGTTGGATGAAGAGCAAGAGGCAAGTGTGTGGTTCAAGCAAAGAAGTATCGACCAAGAAGAAGTGGGACAAGGACGAAGTCGAGCATGTGGACGAGGAGTCCGAGTAAGGTGGCAGTGTCGTTGCTCATGGTGGTTCTAGTGCAATGTCTACCGGATTAGTTGCTTAGTTTAATTTCAGGTGTGCTTAGCTTTATTTGAGGGGTGTGTTGTGCTGAGCCCCTAGCAGAACTATGTCAAGTTCCTTCTCATTACTTTAACTCTTCAGTACGTACATACTAGTATTTCTTAAAGTTCATCTTTTAGTTGGTAATAGTACTACCACTCATTTCTTCACATTATATACGTACAATATATATGGCCAACATCATATAGCCAGCAGTTTAGTTGTCAAAGAATTTCAGGGTGCTTAGTTTTGTCAAAGAATTTCAGGGTGCTTAGTTTTATTTGAGGGGTGTGTTGTGCTGGACACCATTATTGTCACTCAAATCTCTTTTGTCGGTTTCAAGAGGGGTGAGGGTCTTTATGATTTGACGGCTCATTACTGCTGGAAGGCGAGGCCTTGTTATTTGACTGCTCGTATAAATGTGCCAACGACCTGAGGAGGAGCAAAGAATCGTGTGGTATACTCAAGTTTTCCACTGGAGTACGATAGAGGAGCACAAAACACGGCAACCCAGTGCCATATGGCGATAAAAAATGATCTAATTTGCTAGTCATCTCATTGTTAGCATTGTTCTATTCATGCCTCGCAGAGAACATGACACATGCGGTGAAACACCCGAAGCAAAAGAAGAAACACAGGAGCAAAAGAAGAAGGAAGATTATCACCCCCAAAAAAGAAGGAAGACACACACACAAGTCTGGGGCACTGCTCTCTACTACATGAAAGGTTGCTAGCCGCAGAGTCGTAATTGCTTCTTCATCGCCTCCACGACCTCCATCTCCTTGCGCGTCTCCTCCGCCATATTCTTCATTCTGTCCATGACGCGGGATTTCTCGACGCGAGCCTTCATCATCTGTTTCACGGCCGCATTACGTACCTTGACAGCAGTCGGGTGCTTCAAAGCGAGAGCTTCACAAACTCCTCCTTCTGTTCGATGACGAGGGCCTGCAGCATCTTCATCGAGGAACTACTATTCTCATGCAGCTTCTTCTAGCCGGCGTTCTCCTCCTTCAGTAGGTCGAGCTCATACCAGAGCTTAGCCTTGTCCTCCTAAAGTTGCAGGATTTCGCTGGTCGCCTTCTTCTCTGAGGCAATGCTCTTCTTCAGCAGCATCACCAAGCTGGCGGTCAACTCCCCCTGCTCATTGAGCTGAGTGGGCATGTCGTCGAGGCTCTCCTTCAGCAGCTCCATCAAGCCGTGGATGAACCCTTCTGCTTATTGAGCTGATCGGGCATGCCGTCGAGGGATAATGACTCCAGCGGCGCCAGCTCGGCATGTTCTCCTCCGTGGATAGGGTGCTCCTGGGAGCCATCGCCTTCCCGTGAGAGATCTTTCAAGGTCTCTACGAGGCGGCGAGCCCTCTTTTTTTCCGCGGCCTTGGTTGCCCCTCCCTTTTACGGGTAGTTCTCAACCTAGAGCTCTGCACACTAGCCATGGCAAGGACGGACGAAGAAGAAGGACTTATGAGGAAGAAGGTAGAGTAATTTTCGGTTAGTGTCGTTGAATTGTCACGACAGATGTCCTCGTTGAAAGGACTTAGTCATGAGGCCAACACATCTAATTGGTAACTTGAGAGGGGTTGAATGGGACGAGAGACGCAAGTTTTTACCCAGGTTTGGCCCCTCAGGGTGGAGGTAAAAGCCTACATCCTGCTTCATTGATATTGATGATGATGATCACGATTAGAAGGGTGATATATCTCGAGAGCTATAGACTTGTCTGTCTAACCCTAACCTGTCCAACTCATGAAAAACTTGTCCCTCTTGGGGTGCCCTGCCCCTCCTTATATAAGTTGAAGGGGCGGGTTACATGTGGAGTCCTAGTAGGACTAGGACTATTGTATAACAAGCGGAATCCTAGTCTTGCCCCTTTAAGGGAAAACTCCTTATTCCTTTCCTCTTAAGCCGGCCCACCATACACTACTAGGGAAAAGGCTAGCAGCAACGCGGGTTTTAGGTGTATCAGTACCACGCGTACCGGCACTACTAATAAGGCGCTACAGCTAACACATAGCAGTAGCGCGTGATCACCAGCGCTACTTCTACACAAGTGTAGCAGCAGCGCGCTTCATGGAAGCTCGCTACTGCTAATAGCTCAAGCGCGCTTTGCCTGGACGCGCTACTGCTATCGTGGCGCTGCTGCTAACTTTTCTCCACTCGCTACTGCTAATTTTAGTAGTGTGACGCCCCAAGACCGGAGCTTCAGATGCCTTCCTTGATTTCCAGGTTTCGTCGTGTGTTTTGTTTGGTCCGTTGCATTTCATATTTGCATCATGTGCATTGCATCATGTCATCATGTTATCATGTCATAAGTCTTTTGCATCTCAACTAAATAATTTGTATGGATCTTCGATCCATTTAAATCGAGGGAAGAGTGACTTCTCTTTATAACATCATCCTCCTAATATTTAGGGAGCTATTATAAATATTCCATTAATTTGGATTCACCCATAAACACACTTGCAAAATAATTCCCCATGCCTTTGTCCCATTCATCATCTCCTTCTCCTTTCCTTCTATTTCCTTTCTTTTACAAGTGCCATTTTCCCCTTCTCTATTAATGTTCATTCTTTTCCTATAAATTCTCGACCATGCCTTCAACCTCTCTGTCAAATTTCAGATCCTTTGTAGTTGTTTTGGTTAGGTTCAAAAATGCCTCAAGTTTGAATCATATTTAAACTTGTTTTGTTTTTCTACCTCTAAAAATATCCAAGACAATTTTATCAAATAGAGTATAGTTCCACGAGATTGAGGATATTTTTTATATCTGAAAAACTCCTCTTCTAGCCCCCTGGCCTTTTTCTTTTATTGTAACTGATTATCTAAATAAACAAGAAGTAAACGATAAAAGAAAAGGTGTTCCTGGGCGACCTCCTTAGGCCCAGCCGCAGCCAGGCCTACCCACCTTGGGCCAAGGCCCATCCTTCCCTGCAGCCCACCTTAACCCTCTATAACCCTAGGCCCGGCTGATCCCCTCTCTAACCCTAGACGATCGAGCAGCAGCTCATCTCGATCCCCGTCCTCCTCGTTCCCCATCTCCCTCGCGCCGCCACCCATAGGAACGGCACGCGCTGAGCCCTCATCCCGATCCCCTCCTACCCGTGCTTCTCGTCCGGCCCCGCCGTCTAGCCGCGCTGTGCCCTCAAGCGCCTCACCTCGCCGCTGCCTCCCCGCCGCCCCGCAGCATCTCGTCCGACCGCGCCTGCTGCAGCTGCTCTTCCCGCGCGCCGCCGGGCCTCCCCGCTGCCAGCACCATCGCCTCCCCGCCATGGCGCCGCCACGAAGCACCCAGCCACTGGCTTGGTCGCTCCTCTTCTGCTTCACCGGTTCCTCTGCTCCATCATCTCCGCCCCGCGCCTCAACTCTGCGCTGTCCCCGTCGCCCTCCTTGCCTTGCTCCGGTCTCCTCTTCTGCACGACCCGAGGGTGTCCCTGCTCGTCGTGCTTGCGCGCCCAACGACCACCTCAGACCGCCAGCGACCTCTCCTGCTTCGCCTCCGTGCCTGCTTGCTGCAGCTGCCATGACCCTCCTCTACCTTACACGACCATCACCATGGCTGACCTCGCAGGCCACTCCATGCTTCTCCTGGAGGCCCTTGTTTCCTCCTCTGC